TTGGCTGGAGATCTACCACTCGAGCCATGCTTCCAACTCAATGAATATTACTTCCAATGATCTGTAGTATGGTGAGTCTGGCACATGAGGAAGATGACACAGGACTCAGTGGTTGTTGCACCGCTTGTGACTGCAGGCAGCCCAACAGAGGAGGGCTTGAGGAAATGATGGTGTACCTATCTTATCAATATCTCCATTTCCTGAGACCTCCCTTTAATGCCTGCTTCTTCTCCTGCCACTTCTCGACAGGATTCTCTGCTCCTTCACTTCAACATGTGATTTACTCTGCTTTATTGGAATTTCACAGATGCCAAGTAAGCTGAGTATACTTATCAGTCAAACACAATCTAGTACTAGAGTCTACCAGACAGTCTTCTAGAGCATGAGGAAGCCCAGAGTAGCAGATCTCCCAGCCAAGTCCAACCCTGATCAAGTCCAACTCAGCCAAACTGTACTGCAATGAATGATGTCTTCTAAAACTGTTAACAGTAAGTCTGATGAAGGTCCCAATGATTCTGCCTTTTGGTATTTATCCCAAGAGAAAGGAAAGCCTATGTCCATGCAATAATTCAAATTTAAATGCTCGTCACGGCCCAGACTTCTATGTGAGAGCCCCAAACTGAAAATGGCCTAAAAGTCCACCAACAAGGAAAAATGAACAAAATGTCCTACATCAATATGATGAAAGACTGTGCAGAAAAAAAGAAAAAGGGAATGAATGATTGCTACGTGTAAGAACATGCATGAATCTTCAATTACACTGAGTGAAAGAACTCAGGGCTTCACGCTTTACTTGGCTTTTTCACTCACAGTTTGGGTATTGTCTCCATTTCCAGCTTTATTCCTGGTTAGTTGGAATTAGAGTCTCTTGGGTTTATCTACCCGGGCTGTCTTCAAACCTCGATCATAAGATCTCAGCCTCCTGAGTAGTTTAGGGTTAGAGGGGTGTGCCAGGTAAATGACAAGGTTTCTACTATCCCTGGTTTCTACCTACTGAATTATTACTGGCAACCAGAAATACGTCAAATGCCCACTGGGGGCAGTGACACTCCGCTGAGAACCACAGGTCTCTGCAATCTCTCCCTGATCTGCGGGCCTTGAGCCTCTGCTTTAGTTTTGGAAAGCAAGTGCTCATCCTTAGTCTTCTGTTTTCAAGAACAGAAAAAAAAATTGGTGGGGGGGCGCTCTTTTTGCCAAAAATCTGCGCAGACCCCCCCCCCCCCATTCTTTTGGTCAGGTAAGTTCTTACTAATACTCTTAAGACGTGGGTTTTAGCACCCAGTGAAACCTTCTAACAATCTCACCACCCCATGCACATGATGGCCTGCTCTCCCATTAGACTGAATTCTTTGAGGGAGGTTATCAGAGGGTTCATGGCCAGGTCTTAAAGCACGTACTGACTTTCAGATAGTGATAATAGCCACTTGGAGACTTTTGCATATGACTATGCAATTATTGTCACTTGCCTTTCAATATTTTCTCATACTTGAAGAATCACATATTTCCAATGAGTTTATTCTTTCCAGTCTATCACAGCCTTTCTATTTCATCTTTCTTTAATATTACTTTTAAATCTCCATCGTGTTTTTTTCTCTTTTACTGACAAGTTTGTCCCTTTTATTTTGTGCTAGTACTGGGACTTGAACCAAGGGCTTTTTCACTCAAGGTGTACTTGAGTGGAGTTACAGGTCCATTTCTGGATTTGGGGGATGGTTAATTGGAAATAAGAGTTTCATGAGTTGGGTTTGAACCATGATCCTCAGCTCTCAGCCTCCTGATGAGCTAGAATTATGTGCATGAGCCACTGGCACGCAGTCCAAGTATATTCTTTTGGTCCATTCCTTCGAGATATTTTACTTAATTTAGATTGCATATCTCAAAGAAGGGCAGTTTTCTTTCTTTCTAACATGACTTGAGAATAGTTTTCATATGTTTGCTGATATTGACATTTGCACTTGAACTCAGAACCTCATGTTTTCTTGGCTAGCCTAGCACTCTTAACAATTAAACTACACTCCCAGTGCAAGCATTCTGCTTGTAATTTTGAAGACAGAATCTCAAAGACTTTTCTTCCTTAGGCTGGCTTTGAACTGACAACTTCTGTTGCTGCTAGGATCATAAGAGTGAGACCCCTGAGTTCTCTTTTTTAATCATAAGCATAAAAAATGTCCACCTACAATCTTCTTTCCTTCCCTCATTCCATTCTTCTTCTCTTTTTTCTCCTAAAATTGATCACTCTGGTTCATGCTTGAGCCTCACTGTCATTTGGCTTTGTAGTGTATTATTTGTATACTTTAGTCATTCATTTCAGGCACAGAGACCAAAATTAGTTTTAAAGACTCTTCATATTTTTGTGTGCTGGACCTTCTGTCTTCTCTTAACTAGTTATATTAAAAGAGTGGACGTGATCATCTTCTTATTATTGTATTGTTATTGTTATATAAGTCTGGTAATAAGTACATTTCTTTTTAGATAATGTCATCCCCTTCACACTCTCCCAGTTTTTCTCTCTTCTCCCCCCACAAGATGTACAGTTCATTTTCAACTTGGTGTCCAGTGAGTACCACTGATGTACTGGCTTACCTTTGTCCCTCCATTTCTGTGTACCCTTTTACCCTCCCAGACAGATAAGTGAACAAAAAAAAGACAAAAGAAAAGAAAACAAAAACAGCAACAAAGAAAATAACCCTCTTCTTTCCATTTCCTGGAGTTCATTTGGATAAATATAATTTTATAAGATCATATGCACATAGGTAATTTATCATCTTTAAAAAAAACCCTAAATCTCCCATACTCATTGCTTCCCCAGGAGTTAGCATAAATATTTCCAATAATTTACAAATGGTTTTCTTTTGGGTCATTAAAAGAAAAATGGTTTTGCAGAAATTATCTTCCAAACAGTGTAGAAATGTCCTTTTGCTAGGGCCTACAAAGTGACCTACTGAAATGCAGTAAATTGCTTCTGCTTTGTTAAGATAGTCAGAGCTTTATTTCATTTTGTAATGGAAGAACAAATGGGGGAAAGCGTTCTGAAACCCTCTGTCCTGCTTTAGAGCATGTAAATAGCATCACGCACAAAAAATTTCAAGCTGTCAGGAGTATAGAATGTATGATAATTTAGTATAATTAAATGCCTAAGACAATTAAAATAGAACTTATCCTAGTAAGATTTTCTCACTTGAAGGGAACTTCTTTAAAAGTAGTTACCCATCTACATGTCTTTCGATATGGCTGTTAAAAATAAAATGGTGGTATAGCCCACTACCATGGCTCACTCCTGTAATCCTAGCTACTCAGAAGGCTGAGATCTGAGGATCATAGTTCAAAGTCAGCCTGGACAGAATTAACTAGCAAAATTAACCAGGTCTAATTAACCAGCAAAAGGCTGGAAGTGAAGCTGTGGCTCAAGTGGTAGAGTGCCAGTCTTGAACAAAAATGCTAAGGGACATCAGCACCAAGGCCTTGAGTTCGAGCCTCAGTACTGGAACTAAAAAAAATGGTGGCATAACATACAACATGGAAGAAAACATATCTACATGTGTAGACATAGAAATACAATTACCTTAAAAATTGTAAGCAATATGCACATTCTGATCACCTTTGTATTAAAACAGGAGAGGCTAAATTATAACATATAGAGAGATGGGACTAAAAACATATCTAGGCCAGACTGCTCTCAATTCTGCTACTTTGTTGCCAGTTCAGAGATTGGCCAAGTAAACTGAAATTCAACTCTAAACAACATTTTTAGCATAAGTATATTCCAAATATTGCACAGAACATATGTATACTTAAAAAAGGGATCTATTATTTATCTGAAATGCAAGTTTAACTGGGTGTTGCATTTATTTATTTAGTGGGTACTGAGTCTTAGGGCTTTTTTCCCCTGCTAAAGGCTAGCTAGTGTTCTATCACTTGAGCCACAGCTCCACTTGTGGCTTTTTTGTTTGTTTGTTTTTACTGGTTAACTAAACACAGAATTACCTCCCTGGGGTTGGCTTCAAACTACCATCCTCAGATTTCAGCTTTCTGAGGAGCTATTAGGATTACAGGGGGAGCCCGGGGCTCTGGTCTTGGCTGTCCTTCTATGTCAAAAATGAAAAAGCATTATGATACAAAAGGCACCCCAGAAGTGTTGGCTTTAGGAATGCTTCCCAAGTGTCTACAGCTCGACTCAGGAGCTCTAGCTAGTCAGCCACAGGAAGATGGAGGGAGACAGATCAAAAGAGGAGCCAGGGATGAGGCTTTGCCTACATTGGAAGCAACAGGAATTTTGCAGGAGCCCTTTTATCTTACCTAGAGGTGGAATGTGGGAAATAAATGAGAAGCATGCAGATCCGGGCCTGCTTCCCACCTCCTTGTCCTATTCCAGCAAGTTATATAATTTATTTCTCTGCCAATGTTCTCGTCTGTAAAGCGCGAGTGAGGGGACCTGCCAGAGCACCGACACGCAGAGGAGAGGAGACAGTATCTGTGCAGAGAGGAGTGCACTCAGTCAGAGCAAGCCTTTCCTAGTTCCTTCACTTGTCAGACACAATCACCACCTCACCAGGACAGAACTACGGACCATCCATCTTGCCTGAACTATTTGGAGAATCAAATGAGAGTATGTGCGCTCTTCTAAAGAGCGTGACAGAGCACGCCCACAGCTTTGCTCCCTGTAATTAATTTTATTTAAAAACATTATACAGCGAAACGGACTCCCTTATTTACGGGCCAAAGTCCTCTGAGTTTTAACACGTACAGATTTACATATCCATCTCCACACAGAGGATACACAGAGCGCCACTGCGGCTTTGGAGAGCCCGTATCCCCCAAGTGTTTTACAGTTCGGTTGCAACACACGTTTGAAATAGATAAATGTGTTTATTTAAACTATTCTAAAGCGAATGTAGATGCAAATAATCGAAGCTGGCTTGGGGCGGGGCTGTCTGTGGCGTTCGTCTGGGCGGTTTCTGCGGTGGTGTCTGCAGGCCGTGTCCCTCCAGAAGTCACGGGCGATGGGTTTGGCACTGGAGCCTCTGCACCATCATCGGCCACCAGAGCCACCTTCACCCTCTCCTATTTTATTTAATATAGAACCAGATCTTAATCTTCCCAACCGCGTTTCCGCTCGCTGTCATTTTCCATCTAAAAGGAGAAGGCTGACACCCACCACCCGCTTCTTCCAGGCATCTGGAGGCTGGAGCTGGAAGGATCGGGTCTCTCCGGCCGGCCGTCGGTCCTCCTGGCCGTCTGTCCTCCCCGCCGTCTCCTCCTCCAGCCCTTCCGCGGCCGCCGCTCCACTTCGGGAGAAACTTGTGCGTGCAGGCCGCGTCCCGCGGCGCGGAGGACACGCCCAGCCCGGGGAGGGGCGGTGCGCGCTTGTGACTCACGGCCGCGCGATCCGCCTTTTGTCTCCAGGATGCCGGGGCTGCGGGGTTCGGGCCTCCGCGGGTCATTTGAGGAGGAGAGAAGGTGAACAGATCCGGAATGAGGCTTCTCTCCGCGCGCCCTCCTCCCCCCCGGTGAAGTTGGTGCTCTCCACCCGCCCTCCCCCCACGCCCCGGCTCCTCACTTCCCGGGTCCGCACAGGTGGGGCGTCCGCTCCGGATCGGAACTTGACGGGCGGGCG